CTGGGCTTTCTAGTTTAAGCATAATATGGGTATCTAGCACTATGCTTAGCTCTCCATACACTCTCTTCTTCACTTCTCTCTCACTCAACGCATCGTGTGTGAACAAATCATTGAGAAATATTATTGGAGCTAGCATACAAGTGCCTGCTGCGACGATACTAAAAAATTAGGATAGTCACAATCATCAAAATCACGAAATTTTTGAAGAGACGTGTCAATATCCTCATACTCTCCACCATCTTTCCTCGCACTATATCTCTCTCTCTAGGACTACCTCTCATTCCTCGATATATAACCTTCTCTCTCCTTCATCTCAGGGTCACGCTTATATTTCGTATAATAAATCTATCTCTCAATCTTTGATCTCGGACAGTTAGTATTTCTCTCATGTGTTTTTAACTTATATGTGTGTATCGTATGCTCTCTCTGTGAAAAGATGCTATTGTTCCACTGTGCCGCTCTTCATCTCTCACCTTCTCTTCTTTCATCTCTCTTCGGCTCCATCATCTTGAATCCCCTCACACTTACCTCATCTCTTCTGTCAGCTTGTGCCATCTCAAGCCACTCAATAGTAAGTCGTCTCATCCCCAATCTCTTCCCTTCGATACTCCTCCAGCACAAACTCGTAGCCGCCAATGTCAAAAGTTAGTTCTCATATCTTCTGATCTTCCAACTTGAAATCTCCAAACCAAAACAATCAGATTAGATCTCAGTAGTTGGAAGCAGTGAAACATCTGGTCACGACACCTTCCAGACTGTTTCTTCAGTCCATTCCCTCTCTCTCCACTTTCCATACTACCTCCTTACCTCTCTCCATCACATATCTCCCTAATCTCTCCTAACATTCTCTTTCATCATCCTTCTCGGTCCTTGGACCTTCATTTGCCTCTTAATCCTACGCGAGCTACGCTGATTTATAGAGCTACTCTTTGCTAAATGCAAATTCCAAAGCTCCACATTCCCCTGATTATCCATCAAATCTCTCATCACCCTATAGTTAAGAGTACATTGATTTCTCAACGTTCTTTCGACCTCCGAGAAGGTTCTTCACTATACTCCTTATCCATCTCTTCTCAAACAATCCTTCCTTAACAGTTCTCTAGACATCTCTCTATCTACATCTCCACACCATCGATCACTAAATCAAGTCATCCATCCCATCGACTATCAAAACAGTTCTCATTCGATGCCATAATCAAAATAACCAATTACAAAGAACGTAAATATGCCAAAACACACATAATCCTCTCTCCTCAAGAACAAATAATTCTTCGCACAACTAACAATAACAAATAAAGAAAACAATATAACGGGCCTAGAAAAGCACCGGTACTCGGAAGCACCAAAAAAAACTTACACAATCTCAGTCAGGACGAGAATGATTATTTGATCGAAACACTGCATAAAACTACAGCGGACTACTTCCTTGCATATTGTAAATTGATAGGAGTCAAGGCCTACATATAATACAATTTACCACTATGTTATGAGTATGTCATGAAGTTATCTGATTTGAATATAAAAACGGTAGTCACCGTGCAATTGTCAAAGTCCTGTTAGGAAGGATTACGTACATGCGTTAAAATACTTATGTAGTAATAGATCATTCTTGTTGACATATAACTTTTAGACACCTAGCAATTAAAGTAATAGAAAACGGTATATGTATGAGTGAAAGTAGAACTTTACAGACTAGAGTACGCGATTTTGGTTCTGGGGCAATCTGTGGGGAAATTCGGTTATGATGATATACGGCATGCCGAGCAAGGTATTATCTTATACATATATAGATAACACTAATATCATTAATGATTACAGTCACAAAGAGATAATCGTCTTGGGCTTGTGTTTAAGATCTGATGCCAAATGATATTTCAGCAATGGGTTCTTTCACTTTTTTTTTTTATTTCTAATACTTTCTGGTAAAGTTAGGGGTTCCAAACTAATATGCAGTCACCTCGGATTTGCATATTTTTTTTATTTCGCTTGCCCCGAGGGTTTCCTGTATTCCATCTTTTGATATGTAAGTTATTTTTTCTTTGTAAGGCCACCCGTTGTGTTTACTGTTTCCTGTCTAAGGTAACATCTAATTTGGGTTAAATTCCTGTGTATGATTTTATGGTATTCGAATAATTAGACCAATGTGTCTCGTTTAAGGTTTATTCTGTGATTTTTTAGCCATTTTAATTTGTTAAAATAAACAGAGAGAGAAAAGGGGGAGGAAAGGAGGGAGAAAAGAGAGCCAAAGAGACAGAGGTCTTATACAATTGAGGTACTACTGCAAACCGAAGGAAGCTTTTTTTTTTTTTTTTTACTTTGTTTGGACACGTTTATGGGAGAAGCATAAGAAGTAAGGAGAGGGGAGTGCGAAAGAGAGGAGGAAGAGGGGAGAGGAAGAGGGATAAGGGAGAGTAGAGACGAAAGAGAGTGCGAAGGGAAAGGGGAGGAAAGGCGAGAGAAAGAGGAGTGAGTCGAGAAAGAGAAGTGTGCGAGAGAGAGAGAGAGATGAGAGAAGAGAGAGACGAGAGAGGAGAGAGGAGAGGGAGAGAGAGAAAGAGAGGAGAGAGAGGAGAGAGATAGAGAAAGAGAAGAGAGAGAGTGAGAAGAAGAGAAGATGAATCGAGAGAGAGAAGAGAGAAGTTTATTTGGGCGAAGAGGGAGAGAGAGAGAGTGCGAGGGGAGAGAGAAAGAAAGCGTGCGAGAAGAAGAGAGAGGTGCGGCGGGGCGAGAGAGTAGAGAGGGTGGACAGAGAGAGCATTGGAGAGGGAAATGATGACAAGGAGTAGAGTAGGCACAAGAGGAGAGGGTAGATGAGAAGAGAGAAAGAGTAGAGCCGAGAGATAGAATCGAGACCACGCCAAAGAGAGGAGGAGATAGGAGAGAGAGAGAGAGAGAGATGAAGGAGGTGCGAGAGGGAGTGTGCGAGAGAGAGCAAGAGAAGAAGAGAGAGAGAGTGGCGGTGAAGAAGAAGAGGGAAAAGAGAAAGAGATGAAGAGAAGTGCGCCGTGAGAAGAGAGAGAGAGAGCTGGAGAAAGCAAGTAGTGCGAGAGAGAGCAGAAGAGAGAGGTGAGGAGCGTATTTGAAGAGAGGACGAGAGAGGAGGGAGAAAGAGAGAGTAAAAGCCTAGTGCGGGAGAGAAGAGGATTAGGAAGAAGCAGAGAGTGCGAAAGAGAAGGAGAGAGTAAAGAAGTACGAGAGAGGGAAGTTGGCGAGGAAGGAGGGGAGGATGAGGAAAGGAGTAGGGAGAACAGGTGGCGAGGGAGAGAGAGGAGTAGAGAGAACAGGGTAGAGGGAAGTGTGCGTGCAGAGCGCAATAGAGGAAGTGAGAGTGAGAGAAGAGAAAGAAGAGGAGATGAGAGGATGAATAGGCGCGAGAAAGCGAGGAGGAGAGAGAGAGAGAGAGAGAGAGAGAAGAGAGAGAGATGAAGAGAGGCGAGCGAGAGAGGAAGAGAGGGAGAGGGGAGGATGGAGAGGAGGGAGGGGAGGGAGGTGGAGGGAGGGAGGAGAGGGAGGGGAGGAGGGGAGGGAGGGGAGGGGGGAGGGAGGGAGGGAGAGGGGAGAGGGGATTTACATTTTTAACATATGATACTTTTGAAAACAGTATATGCTTAACATTCCGGAACTTACAAAAGCATGAAAAAATGGGGAGAGACTACATTTGATGATTTGTATTTCTGTTTATCATAAGTTGACATTTTCCGCTCTAGCAACTGTACCTCACATTTACAGCTGATTGGGTAACTCTAAGTGTACTAAGACATATTCCTATGACACTTTCCAACAAACACTGTTCGCACTGATTAATTTCTTTATTTTCCACCACATCGGGGGGTAGGAGTCCCCTGGGTACGCCATACGAGATAGGAGGACTCCTCTTACTATTCCCCCGCAATTAAAAATTACAAGCACTTCCCACTTTCTTTCACTGACGCCTCCATCGCCCATCCACCTTCTCTCGGGCGGGTTTTTAAATGTTCCAACGTCACGAATCGCCTCGCTCGCGTCCAGGACTCGGCTGCGACGGCACGTGGACAAGCACGCGCGAACACGAGGCACCAGCGGGGCTAACCGCAGGAGGCGAGGGGGGCGGGGGCTGGTGACTACCTTGTGAACACGCGAGTTGGGAAGTGGACACTGAGCAGGTGGCGCGGACGGCGACTGGCGGCGGCGGAGGCGACACCAGCACCAACATGCACGCCGCCGCCACAACACTGGGCCCTCGCCAAATGGCCACCGCAAGGCCCAAACACAATGTTGCCACTCGGGCCGCGGCGGGCGATGGCTACAACCGCACAGCCATACACAACAGCCTGCTCCGCGAACCTACTACTCGGTGCTTGACGGGAGATACCCCTCAGTCCCGCAGGCCCCCGCCGGAACCCCCGTGCGAAACGCGAAGGTCCGCCGGGCACTCGACGCCGGGGTCACGGGAGCGGCCAGGAGAACAATATCGAGTGGAGCGCCAGCGAAGTCCGTCACCGCCTGCACTCGAAGACACCGCCGACGCTGCCTGCCAGCACTGCCCCCCCCCCCCCCCCCCCACGGCCATCCACGCACAGGGGATAATAATACTGTTTACAAACACAGGCCAGCATTAGCCCGCATACTGTACGGATTTAGTCATTTACTCTTTCTCTTTCCATCTCACTCCCTTTCTTTCTATTTTTCTCTCTCCTTCTTTCTCGCTCTCCTATCTTCCTCTCCCTCTCTTCCTTTCTATCTTTCTTTTCTCTTTTTTCTTTCTCTTTTTTTCTCTATTTCTTTATTCTTCCTTCTTTCTCTCTTTCCTTCCATCTATCTCCGTCCATCTCCCTCCTTCCATTTCCCTCCTTCCATCTCCCTTCTCCCTCCTCCATCCCCCCTCCTTCCATCTCTCTCTCCTCTCCTCTCCTTCCATCTCTCTCTCCTTCCATCTCTCCTCATTCCACCCTTCCATACTTTATCGCTTTCTTCGGGTCTTCTTACCTTGACTTGCTCTATCAAGTTCCCTTTCCGTGCACGTAGGCCTAAGTTTGCTGTTGTCGATACATATCTCCCTACTTTCCTTCCTGCCATTTTCCTTACTTCCCTTTTCCACATGATTATGGGCAGGATGGCATCAGGCAGCAGCAACACTTACCTGGAAATAAAGAGAAAGTAATTAATTTCTAAGAGTATAAATTAACATCCCTAAAAAAGTAGTCGATTACTATATTTTCCTTGTACGAATCCTTAATAAACAAGGTAAATGGTATAATCAAGTCACGTCACGATCCTCCTATTTTTTCCTGGTACCCTGAACAATTCTTTTAAAATTCTAAACTTAACAATCAAGCTTTCACTTTTTTATGTATAAATAGAAAGTGAACTCTTCCCTTGGAGGTAAGATGTACAAAACCCATTTCTTTGTGGTAGCTGCACATTTGACTTTAGTTTCCCCTTCCCGATCTTCAAAAACAGAAAATGGACATCCAAAACTCTAATAGAAAACGTATGCTATATGTTAGGGGTAACACCAGGAAATCGACGATACTGAAATTCCAGCAAGAATTTAAGATGGGGTAATTTTACAAGATAGGGTAATTTTACAAGTCACTTATTTTCCATTTTTCCCCTTTCTGAAATACCTATTCACTTTATGCAATGGCTGGAGATACTGAATAAAGTGAAATTAAATCGAATCTTAGACCTCTTCCCATTAATGCTGAAGGGTGTACACATTCACATCTGTAATTTCAACTCCTCGCCACCCCATTACATTCAATACGCCAGCGGTCTCATCTTTACAATGTCAAACAGAAAGGAAATTCCACGACAAGCATTTCCCTTCCTCAATTCTATCGCCAAGGAAGTGCGGTCCCAAATTTTTCACTTGAATTTCTCTCGAAGTCCTCCTCAGGATTTCTTCACTAATTACCATTTTTGTCGCCATATCCCACACCCTGTCGCCCTCCAAACATCTGCCGTTTATGTCTTCCTGTTGCTCGCGCATTCTCCCTCTCAATCTCGCTCACCCAATCTGATTCACTCTCAAATCTCACTCTCATTCAGTCTAATTTTGCGTTCTCTTTAATTCCCTCTCTTTCTGCCTCTCTTTCTGTCCTTCTCCCCCTCTATCTCCGTCCTACTCACTCTCCCTCTCTCCTCTCCTCTCCCTCTCCCTCTCTCTTCCTCTTCCTCTCCTCTCTCTTCCCTTTCCTCTCCCTCTTCTCCTCTCCCCCACTCCTCCCACTCCCCTCCCCCTCCCCCTCCCCTCTCATTCGCTCTCTATCCTCTCTCTCCCTCCCATTATCTCTCGTCCACTGCTCCTCGCTCTGTAAGCACCGCGAAGTCCCGCTCTTCGCGACGGCAGCGGCTGGCCGCCGTGGCTCCCATGCCTGCGCAGGGGTGAGCTCCAATTGGACATGGTCGGTGTTTGCGCAGCGAAGAGCTTAGGCGGCCACGTCCCGGCCAGCCGTACCCAGGGAGCAGGTGCGTGTCGTGCAGCACCTCAGGGGCCTTAAATGCAGGTCATGGCCACCTGCCCGCCCATGACCTTACGGAGAGCAGCAGTAATCTAGCTCCCACCCCCTCTCCCACCTGCCCCCGACCCGACCTACCTTCGCCCAGCTGGCCGCCTCACAACAAGACAGATACTAGTGGACTGACCGGTGCGCCTGCATACTACTCTCCCAGCATCACCTTTCACCCCCACGGATCAGTCCCCGCCATTCCTCCACAGCCACACTGTCCAGCACATGATCTTCGACCCAGATGTGAGCACGCGCCCGCACTCCCTCCCCGCCCCACCCTACCCGCCCGAGTACTGGCAGGAGAGAGGGGGGAGGGGAGTGTGTGCGACAGCCACCGCACCGTCCACCATGACCTCCACCCTCCCTATCCCGCAGGTGCGATGCGGCCGACCTTGCCCGAGGGTTCTCCTCCTTCCCTCCCATCCTCTTCCTCCTCGCCCTCACCGCAGCCCGCGGCTCCCTCCCATCGCCATGTTGCAAAGTGTCGCGGCGAGATCACATGGATCCCCGAGCGGCCATACAAGCAATTAGGTGTTCCGGCCAATTAGGCCCGCGCTCCCAGCACGGCCTCAACAAAGCAAAGCGCGACCTCAGAGCGGCCACAACGAACCTCCAGTACACAGCCACTTGACGCCCGTCACTCGCACGCCCTCCGAGCGACTCAAGCTCATTAACCGCTAAGCCGACGCAAGTTCTCACGAAGGATCCCTCAACACGTCCATGTTGCATTCCTTACAAAATCAACAAACTTCCTTAATCGGTAATTGAATGATGATAATTATAATGAGAACTGCGTCTCAGAATCATAACTAAAACCAACTCCCGTTTACCCACGTCAGTCGTTATGCGGGGCCGGCAACACGCAAGTTTACAAACCAAATATGCTTTAGACTGGTATCTGTGTCTCCCTCACAACGCACTTCAGCAACGACTCTGGGTCAGTGATATCGCGGAGGCAGAATAAGGCTGTTCCTGTCTTAAAGTGTAAGCGCTTTTCTTGGCTTCGTTGTTATCTTACGTCATTGGAGAATAACATTCCATTCGTCAATATTTACAAGGCGTGGCACTGTAACAAGTACAAATCGTCCTATCAGTCCAAGATGGGACTTTAACGATGCCCCAAAAAAAAATAAGAAAGAAAATTCAATAAATGTATACTAAACAAAAACTATGCCAAATATTAATGATCTCCGGAGAATATGATACAAAACAAAGGACCAAATTAAAGTAAAATAAAGTACCTCATAGCACTAATATGAATACTTACAATCAACTTTAAATATTCTAAATATTTCAAGCTTACTTTTTATGGAAAAGATAAAAGGCGAGATACCCCTCACTACTTTCTCATTTCAATTACTTTCTTTTCCCTCCTCTTCCCTTCTCGCTCTCTCCTCATTGGTCTGTTTGTTTGTTTTTCTCATTCGCAACAATTTTGTGCCTATATCCAAATAGATGATTCTCCAGCACGGCATAAATTACCAACCACGCACTTGGAAAGGAAATCCACTGATCGAGATAGAAGTACAAGTCTTTCCGTCCTAAAACCATAACCTGTATTAGTCTTACAGTCCTAAAACTATGACCTATGTAAGTGTTTCAGTCCAAAAACTACCTGTGTAAGTGTTTCAGTCCTGAGACGACGACCTGTGTAAGTCTTCCAATTCTAAAACCACGACCTGTATTAGCCTTCCAGTCCTAAAACCACAACCTTCCTTCTACAAATCGATCGTCTTTCTGAAACGGGGACTTTCTACAACAATCCCCTGGGAACCGCAAGCAAAGGCCACGGCAGAGACAGCGCCGTCCGAACCTTTTGCCGCGACGCGTGATGCCGCAGCGTGCCTCTCCGATCACATCCATCACCTTCACTCATTTCACTAAAACATTTGACAGTTGTGACACTCCGAGGGAGGTGACGGGCCACGTGCTCCGCTCTGACGACGCCACGAGAAGAGAAAGTGCCGTGTGGATGGACTGGGAAACACGAGGCACGGAGGGAGGGCAAGGGAGGGAGGGAAGGAAAGGAGGCAAAAATGAGGGGAGGGGGAGGCACAGGGCGAGAGGCATGTGACGGGGGGAGGGAAGAAAGGGGGGGGAAGATTGAAAGGGGAGAAAGAGGAAGGTGAAGAAGGAAGGGAGGGAGGGAGGGGAAAGAGAGAGAGAAGGGGGGAGGGGGGAGAGGGGAAGAGAAGTAGGGAAGGGGAAGGAGAAGGGAAAGGGAGAGGGAGGAGAGAGAGAGGGGAGAGTAGGAAAAGGAGGAGAGGAGGTAGGGGTGGGGGGAGAAAACCATGTTGAAGATACAGGGTGAGGCCGAGAGTGTGGGAGACGGAGATGAGTGTGAGGGAACCAGAAAGAGTAATCTAAAACTTACACAAAACCAAGTGACGGTAAGAGTAACGTTTTCCTTTTTTACATGAGTCTGAAGCTGAATTTTTTTGTCCTGCTAAGTCTTCCCACGACATGCTAAACGGCTAAACATGGTGCAACGCCCATTCTCAACAATCGAATCCACGGGGCTAAGCCCTTCGCTGATTTATATACGTCTCTGTTCCGGGGCAATTCCAATAACACGTACTCTCCGGAGATGCACAGGTAGCGAGGTAATTACTGCTATATTTAACTTTCCAAGAACAAGCAGCAAAGTGTCATCATGTATCATTACACACCACAGCAAACAAACTCAGGCCTGACTTTCTCTCTGCGGAAAGAAAGGGGCGAGCGATCAGATCATTTATCTCGAATTCGCGCCGCTTTCTCGAAGTAGAGATCGCACTGCTCGACAGATAACGCTCATTGCCCAGCAGCTATTTAGGTGATATACGGTGTGACAAGTTCGTTCGTCCAAGCCTACCGCAGGTGGCCAGAGGCTCCAGAGCCAATCTGGTGCCAACTGCCGCGACGCCGTCTTCTGGCGGAGCCTTTATCGCTCCCTTTGAAGTTTCTCTTCAAAAGCTTTTCTTTTATGTCACGCCTAACGTCTCGCCTTTGTCGTTCCTCTTAAAATAGTTTGGCCGCTTCTTCTCTTCCCCGCGCGCACGCTGAGGGCGCTTCCTCGCCCTCTTGACCGCTTATCTACCCTGCTGCCCGGTTTGCCTCCCCCTCCCTATGCCCTCCATCCACCCACCGGGGACATCATTAGTGCCCTTGCAACGCGCTCCCCGTCGTGACTCCTCTCCCCTCGGAGACTTCTCGGCTGGCTCTCCCGGCAATCGCTCTGGTTCGCTCACGCCCGAAACCCCGCGGCCGCGACATGCTCACGACACACTAGGCCGTCGGAAAAGGCGCCACCTCCGGGGGGAGCGTCCGCTTGGCGCCGACCGCAAGCGGCGCTTTCTCTCCTTGATTTGGCCACAAAGGAAACGTAGGCCTACATCTACAGCGCCAAGAAAATCGAGCTTTTACGAAATTCGCAGAAGGACAACTGATTTGGTCAGCGTAACTGCTTGCTGTGAATATTTTTTTTACCGTAGCATCAACACGGTGGAGTGCTTTACCATTCATGGATTTAATCTTACCAAAAGCAAAACGCTACACCGCAGTGCCGCCCGGCGAGGCCTATACATCGCGAATTCTCTCCCGCGTAGGCCTCAGGCACTGATTTAAATTACTTAATACGATCACTGCC